CAAATGAATGTTGTACATAGGTATCTAATGTAGCAGTTAGAAGAATTTTAGATGAGCACGTTAGATCATTGTTTACTTATGTCCCATCCCTGAATTCTCTGCACATAGATTCTCTTGTTACCCATTGTTAAAATTAAGCAGAAGGATCCAATTCGCTAAATCTGTTGGCTGGTGATTAAAAGGAAAGTGGCAAAGGTATTGGAGGAAGTGACACACTATAGTCAAGTTATGGCTAATTAGAAAGTACACATAGCTGCAATTCAGACCTTCAAACGGGAAGTGGAGGGGCACAAACAGAGATAGAAGGTGGGAACTTCTGGACCCACCCAGAGGATTTAGAAAGGTGAGAGAGTGAACATAATTGAGCGGGTGACCAAAATTCACATTCCCAACAGTGGGACAGCCATCCTGGTAATGGTTGGGAACCTCTTTACATTCATTAGCATACCATAAATACTCATTAATACCCCAGCTCGATGGAATTATATTCACAGATGATATCTTGTTATACAGAAGTGAGAAAAATATATCTTCACAAATCTGACCAAAAATATGAAGCCTGTATCTGGTGGGTTACACTAATTCCTGGAAACGGAGAGTAGATTATCTGCTGCTGATCCCACACTTGTCAGATTGTGTCATAGTGATGGCCATTAAGAGTCAGAGTGAGCTATGTGCCACATGCACAATGCCATGCTTAAGGCCACAAATTCCTCAAGTCCGATTGAGGAAGAGTGTCAGTAACCTTGGGTCTTACAGAATGGTCCTCACCATGTTAAGGTGCTGCAGGACAAACATTTGCTTCATGTAGGAGCAGTTTGGTAAGGAGCTCAAAGACGAGGTTGACCAGGACAGGTTCTCCAATGGAGATCAGCTTTGTCCTGCTTGTTCACAGATCCTTACTTCAATGTGAAAAGTTACAGCAGCCAAAACCAGCAGTAATACGAGCTTTGGAGGTGAAGAAGCTGAAGGAATGTCTCAGTTCCGACATCAGCAAAGACCCTAGGTTAAGTGGGCTCTCGCTGTCAAGAATCAAGTGGCATGTAAAGAGTAGAACTAGGGTTTTCAGTGCCATTGGGTAGTGTACCATGAGAGGGAATACTGAAGGCATTGCAGCTAGCTGCAGGTCAGTGAGTACCAATGCTGGAGGTGCATTCACACAGGAATAATGTCGCCTACATCTCCCACATACTCTGCAGGATGATAAACAGCCTGCAGCTTTGGAGGAAACACTGTACCTGTAGGATCCACGTAGGATTCATCATAGAATGCCTACAGTGTGGAAGCAGGCCCTTCAGCCCAACAAGTCCACGCCGACCCTTGGAGCATCCCACCCAGACCCATCTCCCTATAACCCACCTAATCTACACATCCCTGAACACTACAGGCAATTTAACATGGCCAATCCACCTAGCCTGCACATCTTTGGACTGTGGGAGGAAACCAGAGCATCCGGAGGAAACCCAAGCAGACACGGGGAGAATGTGCAAACTCCACACAGACAGTTGCCCAAGGGTGGGATCGAACCCGGGTCACTGGCGCTGTGAGGGAGCAGTACAAACTACTGAGCCACCGTGCCATCCACCTCTGACCTTATAATGGAGGGAAGGCCTTTGATGAATCAGCTGAAGATTCTAGGCTGTCTAGGCTTCTCAGATTTATACAACTCAATCAGATACCCCCTCAGCCTTCTCTGCTCTAAGGAAAACAACTGAATCACTACAGATTTCTGCTACTTTCCCTTCATTTCTAACCTTCTCTTTTTATATCATTACCTCCACTGTCTTATTTTTCTTGCTTAGTCTAATATTGATGTTCTTTCTCTCAGCAGCTTTGTTTTGTTATCCACCTGTTATGTAAATCCCATTGGGGCACTGCACTCAAATGGAGATCTGGGGAGAGATATGGAATATAATGTTGTTTTTGGAGACACTGGACAGAACCTTATAGGTGTCTGAGAGATGTGGGCTATGGCAAGATGTGTGATAGAATTGGACAAGATATTCCATGAAATTTATCTCAATATCAGCAGCATCTCGCTCCATCTTTTCTGCTTTTGCTAAGTGACATGCTGAAATTGTCACTAGACAATGGCAAGTTATTACTTGGCAAGGATTAAAGTTTCTTAATCTCCTCATTCACGCCACAATTAATTACCTAAGATGGCGCCTTGTGTGGCGACACTGTACACTTTTCACTGTATTCCTGTACACATGACAATAAAATAAAAATCAACTCTTTAATGTTCAACTTCCTATCTTACCAAATGCACCTCACAAGTCAGGCATGGAGAAATCTCAACATGAATGGCAGTGTTGGCACTTGGCGACTTCAGCTTGTTGTTTGCCCCAAATATCTTCCATGTTGGACACTGGGCACCAACATTTCAGGGCATGTTCCATAGGCACCAGCCACATGCAGCCCGTTTCCGCATCTGGCATGTGCCAGCCTCTAAGAACACTCGTGGCACACTTCAGAACCACTTACAGGATGCTTCTACATTTCAATGCAGCACCTCAGGTTGTTACCGGTGACTGTCGTTATAATGTTTCTGCGAGGACACTGTGCACTCAGAGACACACCCACACTTCATGGATTGAAGCTGACCGCATCTCAGGTCTACTTAGTTACTCTCCTAGAGCCCACTCACTCTGAATCTACCTGAATGTTCACAGTATCCCTGTCTTGCATTGCCTTGCCTTACCTTCGTGCAATTTGCCGCTCAGCTATTCACAGCTATACTTAATTGTACTATATTAGTGTGATCTTTTCATATCTATTAAGGTTTCTGATTTATTCTGCTTCTCTTAAAGCCAACCTTGAAGGGCACTCATCTCCATAGGCACTTGTGTGTGTCGTGTTGAGCTGTACATTGAGCATTGAGGCTTCCAATCGCTGCTGCCCTCTGAGAGGAACATGACCCTAAGCTAGATGTATAGGTTTGGAATGTCATTCAGCATTGTGTCGGCTCTCCATATCTCAGCAATAGATGAATGCTTCTTGCTCACTGATGTTTCAGGACACTGCACTGATGTTCACGCTCAAGAGCTGAACAAGCGATTATTGCAGCAAGGTTAAGAAAATAACTTCCATTCAACGCTGAACAAAGGAGTCCACAGTCTAAATGTTAGTCACCAAACTTTCCCTACAGATCAGGAACGTCTCTCCACTACTCTTGCCTCCTAGCTCTGAATCAAAGTAATTTGGTTGCTGTGATTAGGCTCTTTCAGGCCTGTTAGCCCATCTCAGTACTGTCTTGGATTTTGTAATAACAACATAATCAGTGCTGTCTCCTTCAGCATCTCCGTCAGACTCCCCTTCTTCCTCATCGGAGGACATAGGTAGCTGGTCCAACTTCCCCTCTTCTAGGTTGTCCCGTTGTCATTATGTTGGGTTGTTCAGGCACAGCAAACATTCACTATCCTGGGGACATGGTGCAGTGAGCACTAGTGTGCTTGGCCTGATATTCCTGGCAACGGAAGTGCATCAACTCTCTGTTCAGTGAAGGCAACATTGTAGCACTGTGCAGCATCAGTCTGGGTGGTTCTATCTTCAGGGTTCTCAGGGTTACCCCATTTTCTCATGAGCCAGCCCTGGAGATGATGTACTCCATGAATACACTTGTTAGCTCCCGAATCGGAGGTGCCACACAAGTCTCCATTTGATTTGAAAGATGATGGTGATGAGGGAAATCTGTAGTGATTCAATTGTTTTCCTTAGAGCAGAGAAGGCTGAGGAGGTATCTGATTAAGTTGTATAAATCTGAGAAGCCTAGGCAGGGTACATAGGGAAAGACTTTTCCCCTTAACAAAGCGATCAATAACCAGGGAGCACAGGTAAGGAGGAGGTTCAGAGGGGATTTGAGGCAAAACATTTTCACCCAGAGGGTTGTGGGTATCTGGAACTCATTGCCTAAAAAGGTGGAAGAGGTGGGAACCGTTAAGACATTTAAGAACTATTTAGATGAAGCACCATAGTTTACAAGGCTATGGGCCAAGTGCTAGAAAATGGGTTTAGAATAGATACATACAGTTCTGAAGAAAACTCATACCCGGACTTGAAACACTAACACTGCTCCTCTCTCCATAGATGCTGCCAGACCTGTTGGATTTCTACAATAATCTCTGTGTTTGTTTCTGACTTCCAGCTTCCACAGTATTTTGCTTTCATTATGACCTGTATGAATATGATGGGCCCAAGGGCCTCTTTCTACGCTGTAAAATCTCTATGCCTCTAAATTACTGGAAGCTATCAATTGCTTTGAAACTCATATATGATTTAATCAGACCTTGAACTCAATAAAATATTTCCCTTTGCACCTCCAGGCAATTCTAAGTTGCTTCAGGATTTGGAAACATGGAACTGAGAACTGTAGTAGAGAATAATTGTTTTAATTGTTGATTGTGAGAGTGGTTAGGTTCTGTATGATTTGATTTCGACGTGATGGGAAATCATGTAATAAAAGAGATAGAGTTTATGACAAACTAAATCATACATGTTGATTGGAAGGATGGATTCTGATTGGACAAATAGCTCTTTCATGTTTCTTGGAAGTCACTGATTCACACTAGCTTCAGGAACCTCACCCAAGTGATTTAGCTCAGTATGTGGTAGAAAATATTAGCAAGCTGTTTGATTAGGGGTCACTCAAATTGAATCTCCATCATAGAGTCACTCAACATTTACACAACTGTGTATAAACAAACACATACACTTCCCAGCAGATATCATTGGCTGGTAATCAGAAGCAGGAACTGAGCAGATTTTCCCTCCCTTAGCCCAACAGGAACAATGTCAGGAGTAGGATCTTTATTCCCAGCTCAAATATGTAACTGATTAAATGTTAGCTCAGAGCATTCCTAATCTACAGGATTTAGTCACACAACAGGCATGAATGCATCAAGTTACTGAGCCTTATTAGGTCATCAGTCGACAACAGGTTAATCATTTCACAGCAAAGAATACTTTCCAATGTTCTTAAAACAAAGATTTGATCTCACCTTGAATGCTTTCGATCTTCTAACAAGCCCATCCTCTTCTGCGCTCCCGATCAGTAAATCAACCTTGTGATACTGGCCACGGGCTAGGGCTGTGATAGGAGGCTCCTGCAGATAAACCCCATCCACTATGGGAGCCCATGACTGGAATGGTCCGCTGACAGCTAGTAGCTGTGGAAATACAAAATAAGCCAATATTCAGCTTCAGACCTCGACCTGAATATGGAGACTTGCCCTGTAGGTTACTTTATGCAAATGAACTTATCGAGGAACATCGGTAATGTTAGATGAAGAAAGGTCAATGTTCCTCCAGCTCCGTCACAGATCACAAGATGCAACAAAAATTGAGCTGTTGCTTATCCATCTTGATTGATCTCCCACGAGTCAAGACTTTTTTGTTCATTGTGTATGAATAACAGAGCATCTGGGTCAGCAATTAGTTTCTTCCCCAACTGGTCTTGAGAAGATGGTGATGGGCTGCCTTCGTGAACTACTGCATTGACAATGCTATTAGTGAGGCTGCTCCAGGATTAGGGCTAGGCTCCTCCCCTCACACTGCCTGCTGACCCTCTCCTCCCTTGTTCTGAACTCCCTCCTCCCATACCCTGACCCCCCTCTCCTCCCTCACACTGCTCCCTGACCTCCTCCTCCCTCACCCTGACACCCTCCTCTCTCACACTGCTCCCTGACCTCCTCCTCCATCACCCTGACACCCTCCTCCCTCATACTGCACCCTGACCCCTGCTCAGTTCTTCATCAAAAAGCCACTTGAATTTGCTTTTGCAATAAGCAATGTCAGATGTTAGGTGGTACAGTTTACATTTTAAAAGTGCTCGACTTGCACAGAGTACGTGATGCATTCATAGCTTTTTCTTGCTCATCCCTTTCTAATATTGTGAGGAAATATTTTTTCTCCTTGAGGGCAATGGGAATCTGGAACTCACTGCCTGTACACTTGGTAGAGACAGAATCCCTCATAACATTTACAAAATATTTACATATGAACTTGTGATGCTGAGGTATACAAGGCCATGGGCCAAGTGTTGGAAAATGAGATTAAGATCGTTAGTTGCTTGTTTTGACCAGTGCAGACACAATGGGCTGAATGGCCTCTTTCTGTGCTGTAGACTTCTGTGACTAATATGCTTGTGAACCCTTCCCAAAGCTGTAGTTAATTGAACGCTGAATGACTCAATTTTACCTCAACAAATCTGTGGATTTTGCAGTGTTGAAATGCAGGTGTAAAGTCTGATAAAATAGTTTAGAACCAAATCTCATTTTCAGCGGTTTCTCTGGCCTTAACCTTACATGTTGTGCAAATGGGCAACTAATCCAGTTCAAGGAGGTGAATTAGAACTTCAAAATATGCTAATGAAACTGTAAGATTCATTGTCCTCCAGCTTTTTAAATTTAGCCCTGATTGACAGGGTTTCCTGACCTGAGACTACTTCAGGTGGTTTCAGGAGATGAAGTCTTTGCAGCCACATCCTGGATCAACGTGCTTCACCTGTGAAGCTTCAAGAATCAGGGACCCTTGCTCATGGCTCATCGCTGGGATGCCTCCATGTGAATCCCTCTTTTTCCCTTTCCCAAAGGCCAAGGCCCTTGATCCCACTTCCCTCAGCCCTCCGTCTGTCCCAAATGCACCTGAACCCCAAATCCTACTCCCCAACTTGAGGTCCCTGATCCCTCTTCTTGGCCTTTGAACTTTGACCCTCCACTCTCACCCCTCTGCAAACATCTGACTCTTTTAACCTCCTCAATGCATCTGATCTGTCCTAGTCCCCACTCTACCTGCAGAACAGCTCCAACCCCTACCCACCTCCTCACCACCACTGGACCTGTGACCTCCCACTTCAATCCCTCTATCTCCATTAGTTCTTGGACTTGCCACCAGCAGAAATTGGGACTGTATGAATGCAGCTGAACATTCGCTGCTGATATGAATCTCAGATGTGCAAAGTACAACCTGCCCTCCTTCCTCCATACTACCTTCCAACTCTATCCCAGTAAAAATGGTCATTGCTATTTCAGGGCAGAGACATTTGGAATTGGAATTTTAGAATCCCACACCATTTTGGTTAAACTGGAGATCCTCTCCATCATTCCAAAAATTCAGGCCAAAGTCTGAATCACATGATGCATCAGACTATTCCCCTCTAGGGACGTATGCAGAATACATAACCCCATCCAACTGGACGCTTACCATGACATAAACTCATTCTTCGAAAGGACTATCAAATTATTTCCACCTCCTTGTCCTTTCTCCATTACCTTACAAAAACTTCCCCTTCAAGTATTTTTCAAATAACCTTTTTGACTATTGACTCAGTTTTCTACCTTTATCAGGCAGTGCATTCCAATCATGACAACTCACTGTCTGTAAAAATAAACTTCTAGTTCTTTTCCTATCAACACAGCAAAATGGAATGGAAAAGGTTCACGGATCATTTCATAATGGTAGAATCAAGTCAAAAATCATGACCCAAGTTCATGGTAAAAGAAATTAAGTTTTCTGGATAGGAAATGCATACCAGTGCATGATTAACAATATAATCTAAATCCATTGGGAAGGATATTTACTGTATATATACCAACCTTGGTTTGCGCAGCATTCAGGGTCAGTGCAGGTAGAGCACGGAGACATGGTAACAGGATTGTTTTATTAAAAGGTGGACAGCCAACTTCTTCAGCTAATCTGATGATTTGCTCCTGGGCTCTCTTCTTACTCATCACAGCATTTGGAGACAAGGCTGATCCTCCCTTAATAATGCAAAGGAAATTCAAAGAATTAAAGCTGAACTCATAATGAAACAGATCTGATTTGCACAATTTAATCAATTAATTTACTAGTAAGCCAGAGAAAAGAGAACTCTGCACATATAATGTGTCATATCAAGTCACATTTCCCCCAACTGCTTTGTTAAAAGCTTTAATAATTCCCTCCAATTTCCACCATTCTTTTCTCTGAAGCTGCTGGGGTGATGGTAAACTTTTAAAACTTGTATGGCAGCTGGGAGAAGGGAAAGAACAGTGAGGTAAGGAAGCTGAAGTTCCTGGAATATAATGAAATTAAACAGGAGACTCTTCCTCTTGAGGTATATGATAATTGTCTTTCACATAAGACCCTTATGAGGTACTAATTTGACTGAGCTCTGAAAATAACATAGGCACACTACAGAAATAGTAAGAACTGCCGATGCTGGAGTCAGAGATAACACAGTATGGAGTTGGAGGAACACAGCAGGCCAGACAGCATCAGAGAAGCAGGAAAGTTGGCGTTTCAGGTCAGGACCCTTCTTCATAAATATACACCACATACCTTCTGACTGGGAATACATTAGGCACATGTGTTTCCCTTTTATCAGAGCTGTGGAAAGCTGAACATGGAGGCATTTTCCACAGTTTATTGGTGTGAAATTCTGCATAATTTTTAGAAGGAATGTAGGAAAAGTTGGCAGTGCCAGAATTTATTGATCATCTCTTCTTTCCCTTAAGAGTGTGGCACTGTATCTTCTTTATCAACATGGAGTCCATCGTGAAGGAGTTCCTACAACACTTTTAGGGAGGAAGTTCCAGGATTGTGATCCAGTGACAATGAAAATATAGGAAAGTAATTGGAGGAAAATTTATCGACATGGTGTGTGCGTGCAGGGGTTGCCCTTGTCCACCTAGAAGGTAGATGTTTTGCTGAGGTGCATTTCTATAGATCCTAGCTGCCCTCCAGCTGCTTAGAGATGGATAAACAGCTGAGACCATGAGTGTCAATGGATTATGTAGTTATGGAAGGTTACTCTGTTCTTACAACCACCTTTTCCACAGGATAGTGGAAATGTTTTCTGGAAATTATAAAATATTGTGCGTATGTTTTCTTAGCTTCAGGAATTTGAGGAAAAATATTAATTATCTGAGATGAACTAATGCAACACAGATGAAGGATTCAATCTCTATTCCCCAGTTTGAATATATGCTTCATCCCTGTCGTTTAACAAAAATGGGTCCAGTCTACATTATATCTGATGACCAGTGGGTGACAGTGAGTTTGGGATATTGATAATTTATTCTCAAGTTTCTGTTGTGGGGGGGCATCACAAGATGTCACTTTCAAAACTCTCACTGAGAAATTTGTAGGAAAAACAAACGCCTTATAAAACTCAAGAAGAAAACCCCTTAAAAAGTCTCAAATCTGGGGATGACATTTATGGATTGCTTCAGCTTCAGGCTTGTATTTTATGTTGTAATTGGACCCATCCATTCCCTGAAAGTCTTACATCTGCCCAAACATCTGCTATTCTGTATTTTGATTGAGTTATGATCCTAAGGCTTGGTAATTATTAATATCCTGTTACATTCTAATGTATTGTAATGTTAATTATAAGAGGAGAAGACTGTATGAATGATGTTTGTCAGCATTGTCTCTTTTAGTGCTAGGTCATCAGTGATTCACTGTGCATCTTTCAAAGCCAGTGATTTTTCAGGTTTTGATATTATAAACTTTTGCTCCTTTACCTCAGACGCCTTCCTTGCATAAAATACAACTTCTGCTAAGGTAACCTCTCACTTGCTGTGAATCAGTGTGTGTCTTTCTATGTCTGATATCTGATAGCTGTTCAAGTCACAAACAAAAACAAGCTCCCACTGTATTCATCTTAGTAACCAAGACAAGGAAAGTGATAGAACAGACACCCTATCAAACAATAGTAATGTAATTGAAAGAGATCTATTAATGAATAGCTAGATGAGGAAACACTACCAAAAACAGAAAGGTAATAAATTATAAAAAACATAGTAACTCCTATTTATAACAATGATAAAACAAGATATAACAATTGTCAACTCACAGCCAAACCAGAATGAGAACAACAAAGGGCTAAATGCTCAATCCTTGTTGGTTTCAGATGGCTAGAAAAGTTCCCTGGAAGAGAGACCCAGCCCATTTTGCAGGTTACTCCCAAGTAGCAGGAGGCAACAGGGTCTGGACAGAAAACCAATTAATCACTGGACACAACACTGTTTCCAAGTGATTGCAGTAAATGGCTGCTTGGCTAGACCCCAAACATGGTAAGTCTGAGGCATTTGTAGATTTTTGGGAAGGAGGGATCTTATGTGGCAGCAGCCAAGGTTATATTTTGCAGAGACCAAAGAAATAACTCTCCTTTTCCTGGCCTCACAAACATTCATTCAAACTTAAGTTATGTGGCCTTTTGCTGGGCACCCAGTGAAATCTGTGCAGAACACGTGTTATGAACGTTTTTCTCAGTTAAGCCCTAAAATCCTAACTGTATTCCTATTCGGGTTACAAGAACACAATTGTCACATTAACCTAACTCAAGTGTCTGCTCTGTCTGATCAAATAAGATCTTTTGGGAATTTAGCATCAGATATATTGCCACCAGGATTGGGACAGTATGCTATACCTGATCATCTTCACGGTGCTATTCCTCTTTTTTTGCGGGTTGGGAGGTCTCAAACTCCAGATAATGCTGTCCTGACGCCTGAACCCATCAGGCAAGAAACCACTAACGTTCTCCGCTGGAGAGACTGGGCAGGATACCGATATACGTGTGATGCAAAAGATTGTGATCCTCTGCAAGAATAAGGGTGACCGCAGCAACTGCAACAAACACAGAGGTTTCTCCCTGCTGATCAGTGTGGGTAAAGTATTATCTCTCCTGCATTTGTCAGACTGCAGATCCTGGCTGAAAGTCCAGCTTGGTTTCAGAACTGGAAGATTTATAATTAATAATATAACAATAGTATAATTAACATGATCTTCTCAGTTTGGCACCTGCAAGAGAAATGTCGTGAACAAAAGAGACCACCACCATCACCAATTTCACCAAGGCATTCACCCAAGGCTGCTGGAGTAAAGTGGCTGCCCACTAAACCTACTCAATGTGATCTCCTCTTTCCATGATAACTTGATGGGGAAAGTCAGCAATGACAGGACAATGTTTGAACCTTTGAAACCTGCAGTGTTGTCAAACAGACATTCTGGTGCTGACGCTCATTGGCATATTCTTCCCTTTGTTTCTGTTATTGCCTCTGGTCATCAAGGTGGATATTGTTATCTTGTGATCTGACAGGTTAAGGTAAAGTGTCACCAGCAATCTTCCTTTCTGTGCTAAGTCTAAGGGCCAATCTAGACTTAAAAATCATACAATCTCTACACTGAAGAAACAGGCCATTCAGCCCAACAAGTCCACACCAACCCTCCAAAAAGCACCCTGCCCAGACCTATTCCCCTACCCTATCCTTGTATTTCCCATGGCCAACACACCTAACCTACACATCCCTGAACACTATGGGCAAGCCACCTAACTTGCACATCTTTGGGAGGAAGCCAGAGTCCCTAGCAGGAATGGAGGGAATGTGCAAACTTCACACAGACTGTTGCTTAAAGGTAGAATCGAACCCGGTCCCTGGTGCTGTGTGGCAGCAGTGCTAACCGCTGAGCTGCCATGCCACCCAGGCTCGGGAATCTATACCCTCTTGTTCTTGTTCCTTTTACAAGTGAGAACAGATTCTCCCTAGCTACTTTATCTAGCCCACTCGTGATTTTGAAAAATCTCCTCTCACCTTTCTTTCCTCTGAGGAGAACAACCTCATCAATCTATCCTCATGACTGAAGGGTTTCATTCCTGGAACTATTATTTTAAATTGCATCTGCAGTCTCTCCAATGCACCCACAACTTTGCTATAATGTGGCACCCACACTGTACACAATACACTTTACACGCTGATATCTAAAAAGTGTCTTATACAAGTTCATCATTGGCTCTTTGTTCTTGCACTCTATGCGTCTATTAATAAAGTCAAGAACACTGTATGATTTTTTTAACTGCTCTCTCCACCTGTCCTGATACTGTCAATGATATGTGCAGATAAAAACTTAGGTTCCTCTGTTCCTGCACCCACTTTCGGATTATGTCTCTATTTTATGTTGTCTTTTAATACTTTTCCTATCAATGTGTTTTGCCTCACATTTCTTTGCACTGAAAATGCATCTGCCACCTATCCACCCACTCCACCAACTTTTCAATATCATTTTGGAATTCCATACTGTCTTCCTTATGTCTTCACAGCCTAATAAACAGTGTCTGCACTTCTCCATGGCTTTCGCTAGTTACACAGAATTTAGTAATTTCATTACGACAAATACAAGAGTTTTGAGCAAGATCATATTGGGCTCAAAACATTAACCCTGTCTCTGTCTTCACAGATGCTGCCACACCTGCTGAGTTTCTCCAGCTCTTTCTATTTGAGTCTGCATTGAAACTGTGTACAGATATGACAAGATGAATGTACCACATACACTGTAGCAAGCACACAAGTCTTCTCGGTCTCAAAAGATCGAGGCTAACATTTATTACCCCATCACCAATTACCTTGAGTTTGATACAATTCAATAGTTTGTGAAGGGTCAGCTATGTTGGGGCAACATATACTACAGACCAGATAAGGACAGCAGATTTCCTTCCATAAAGGACATAAGCAACAAATTGGATTTATTATAAATTGATAGCTTAATCTGACTGATAACAGCTTTTAATTTCCAATATTTTTGTTTCAACTGAATTAAACGTTCAATCTGCCATTTTCTAGACTCCAGACATGCATAAATAGGGCTGTGACTCTGCCAGGGACACCTGTGTCATCAGAAGGAACATACAAAATGAATATATGCAGAATTTAACACCAATATCATGTGATTGTATATATTTATGTTCAGCTCACCGTATGATTTTCTGATATAAAGGAAA